ACGGTGGGATGGCATGTGTCCCTTCAGAGGGCAGAGAGACCACAGATAACCTCAGGCACTGCTCCGACAGCTCTCGCACCTTACCCCATCGCACGGATTCCTCTGCAATCAGCCTGACGTTGTTCTGCAGGCTGGAAACATCATGTAAAACCTTTGATCCGTTCCTTCTTCACCTAAGGGCAGCAGACAAATCAGATGGCTTCTCCTGATAAAAGAAAGGAATTTGTTGTTTTTTTCAAGGCAATCAGAAGTTCATTACTAGAGTTGTCCAAATTAAAGTTCCAGTTTCATCACCTCCATTCCCCTCCCTCAGCCCAAATAATCACGGACCATGCGTCATTACAAATGTTAGTTTAATTGCTAAATTATGTTTTTCTAAATTTGGCCTTGAAATCTGATTTTGAAATTAAAATCAACTTTGTTTCAACATTTATTTTAGAAGTTACAATGTTTTGTTTTGACTTTTCCAATTTTTTCTTTACTAGGTTTGGGTTTTTTTTTGCTAACTGCATATTTTTCTTCTGTAAAGAACAATCCATCACACACAAAAAAAAATCTTTTTCTTCATTGTCCCTCTTCTTCTGATGACGGACTGAACATCCAAGTTTTTAGGTTTGGCTCTTTGAATAGCAAATTGACCGATCAATAGCAAGCCAATGTTCATCATTTAGGTGTGAGTTGTGTCACAGAAACACTGCCAGGGCTAGGACTACAGCTGGAACTAGTCATTAGTATCATGGAGGATGTGTAAGTGCTCTGCTAAGGAATCTGCAGACCATGCAGATTCATTGCTACAGATGGTGTTAGCAAGGACGTGGGAATCCCTCAGGAGCCGCTCAGAAATCGGAAGCACAGCAGAAAGCGGAGTAGGAATCATGTTGAGCAACTCCAGGTCTTCTCTGGGAAGTAGGATCCAAAGAAGTGTGGAGAGAGACATGAAAGACAAGTAAATCTATTGATTCAACAAGTATGCTCTCAGGTGTGGGAAAAGAGCTTCTAACTGCACTTTGTCTTATCTAGAGTTGTCTTTTATGACACATGTCAGTCTTCTGTACAGGGATTTGAAGTCTATGCTGGTTACCTATGAAACCCTCAGAAGCTGCCAGTGCTTCAATAATAGTCTCAACTAGCAAAGTGCAGTACTGGCTGACATGAATTCAACTGAAATTATCCGCTCCTATCACTGCATTACCAAAAAGGTATGGGCAATCGGAAGGAATTAAAATGTAATTGTAGAATCAAGACGAATTGAGTTATAAGAAAGACCGAAGGGCTGAAAGTACTTTAAGCCAGCATAAAAAAACCTTGTGTGAGGACTGATTTATATCTGAGAAGTATCTGATAATAAAGATACGACAGAAAAGGAAGTGAACTCTGTGCAATGGAGTGCTACGACACCTGGAATTAGTGAGAAGGAGACTAAAAAGCACTGAGCTGGAAGCAGTGCATGGGAGCAGGCTTCCTGGCCAGAGGACTGGGGTTCAGAACGAATGAGCCCAGCACTGAGCTGAAACCAGAATTCCTCTTCCAAATAAAAGTGAGCCAAAATACCGAAATGCCCCACAAAGCAGACATTCCTGAGAAATGATATTGAGCAGTTCTGTCTAAAATAATATATTCCTGGTTCAAACTTGTCATTAACCCCAGAGTATAAATGTGATTGTGTGGTGTTTATTTATGTGACGCCAATCCACAGCAATTTCAGTTACGCGTTGTGGGCCGTACCATTCCTTCAATGGTTGGTTTTGGTAAAGCCAGATGATTTAAAACCTTTAAGATTTGTTAATATCTTACCATGAATTGGGTATGGTAGCTACTGCATAACTTTCATAAGCTGTTCAACATAAACACGTCTATTTTCTTATTTCCTCAAGTTATTTTTTCCTGCATTTTACTACACAGCAATTAGTAGCTTGTAGTTCCAGAGGTTAGTAGATATCCATAATAGGCACTTTATTTCTTTTTTTGTAACTAGGTCTTGATGGTTTACATTATATTTTGGGAGCTGCTTACAATGAAACACTCCAAAGAGAATAATAATTTTACAACACATATGACTAAATGACACACGACAGAGCATAATCTGAAAGATATCTACAGAAGTGTTGCAACTTTTATACATCTGCTGTTTTGATTTGGCTATGTATACTTTACAGCGAACTCCCATATGCAACAGAAGAGAAAATACATTTTCTCAGTAGCATGTCTGTAAAGTCTTTTCTTGGTTATGCGTACAGGTCCCTGCAAATCAGTGTATGTCCTCAGGCATAACTCCAAGTTTTGTAGCGGTCTTTCAGGAGCAGTGCTCTTTTTGCTGACAGACTTCTCGCAGACTGTGACACTGTCCAAGTAATTCTTGACATTTTGTTGTTGGTTTTGGACACCTGCCGATCATTGTTCACAGCTGCAAAATCTGTGTGGTCCCTACTGTCCACCAGAAACTGGGATATACAGACAGAAGAACTCGAGTCTGACAGAATTTCCCACATGCTTTTCTTCTATACGTGCAAAGACAGCTTCTCTTTGCTAAGTGCTAGCTTGGTTCCTAAATGTTCAAGACAATTTCTGTGGCACTTTTGCAGCTACAGGTACCACCTTTACTACACCTGGTAAAACCCTGTCCTATTTTTGCAATATCTCAAAAAATTAAGTATTTTTTGATTAGTGAAAACAGGACTGCTGACAATTCCTCCCCCATGAATACCACACTTAGGAAAACAACCAAATATTGAATCTAAATAGCAAGCACAAACCAAAGCTGATAGGATCTTCAGGACAGGCAGCAGGCATGTCAGCACTCCCCCTCACTCTGCTCTGTTGTGCTTACTTTGCCAGCTGTAGCATTTACAGCCACATTCTTGATCGTAACAGCAGTCTCCCCCGTCATCACCAGCGTTAGCATATGGAAAAGGTGGCATGCGGCAATCTGATGAACTGCTTAATATTTCAGCATATTAACATGTCCAGCATAAAATGTGCAGCATCCTTTTTGCCAGCCCAGTTGCCTCACTCTTTCCTGAGCACAAGCAGTTAACCAGTCACTCAGGAGGCTGTAGTATTTTCCCAATAACATGCTACAAAGGTGCTAAGGTTACCAACCTTCCTAACTTGCTTTTTAACTTTTTTTTATTCCCTCTCTATCTCTGATGCCTCCTTTTGCTCCTGGACAGGTTTTCCCTGAGAGCAGTCTGACCTTTCCTTTTTTCCCCCAAACTCTAACAGAAGCAGATTGTACGCAAGCTCCTTTCTGCAGCGCCTTTTTGGTATGGTTTTGGCATACCAAAGCATCTGGCATAACAGAGATTTGTTTTGCCCCTGTATTGAGTGAGAAACCTGGAAGACCATTCTAGGACTGCAGACCAGAGCTGCACAACTTTGCTTCCAAGGAAGATTTTCATCCCTATGAAACACAAATGTGAAGAAAGGCACTTAGCATTGCTTAGCGCAAATATTTATGCGCACAGAGGACACACAGACTGCCTGTGTCAGCAGGATTAGCATGCTGACAATGCCTGCTTGATCTTTGTTCTTTCATGGTCACAAGGACCCTGTGCTTCCCTGCTTTTTACTATCTGATGCCCAGGACATACCTTACTTCAGCCAGAGTGCAGGGATGGAAAGGGAAAAGTAGTATTCCCCTATGCTGCCTCCCTGTGGGGGTAATGAAAGTTTCTCTTTGGACTTTGTCAGTCCAGACTTACCTAAAATAAGTCAGCAGTGTGTGATTGTGAACTTTTGTTCACTAAAATGAAGAGCAATCCCCACCAGTGCAATTCAGATTACATTTCCCTGTAACTCCTAGCCTTGACTGGGTATGATTTGGAGACAAACAGGCAGAAAGCCCTCTGCTGCTTCTTGAATCATTCAACATGGATAACTTATAGAACATCTTACTCAATACAGAAAGAAGGAATAACAGTGTGAGTGTGTGTAAAACTTACTCTGAGGGTACCTGAGCACTGGTATGGTCTAGAGACAGAATCTAAACATTCTACAATTCAGTGTCCTTCTCCATGAGTGGAAAGTGTACTCTGACACAAACCAAGTGTGTGTGAGAGACCAGAGAATTCCCCAGCTACAGCACCTTCAGCAATCGGTTTAACAAGCAGAGCTTTGCTGCTACAAGAGGTTGCTGTGACAAGAGGTTGCTGTGACAAGAGGCTCAGTGGTTGCTGGTTTACCTCCTACAAGCATTTCTTGCTAGGTCTGCTCACTGCTTCCTACATCCACTTCTGGAGAAGTGCACTCCAGCGAGCAGCGGACCTGTTAATCATTCTCAAAATGAGTAAGTAAGTGCTGCTTCTGTCTTTTTTCCCCCTCTCTGACTGCTGGTCGCAAAGCTCACGAGGGCACCTACAGCTGTCAGACTGCCAGAATGTATGGAACACAGGAAATGTTCCTGATGCTATGAAAGAAAGCAGAGGAGGAAATAAAAATTCTACTTAGAGAACTATAAGCTGAGAGGATGGAGGATATCTTCTTAGGGAAGACACAGACGTGACCTCACTGAGCAGTGATGTGCTATATGTTCCAAAGCAACACAATACTGTCATGGCCTTCTGTGCTTTCTGTGACATAAAGAAAAAAGTCACCCTACCATCTGAAATCCCAACGATACAGTACTCTGGAAAGTTATCCAGGAACAAGGGACTTCCTATGTGGTCTCAGTGAAACAGAACACTTAAGGAAAGATCCTCCAAGAAGCAGAAGAATTGCATGGCAGCACAAGCGTGAGGCTGATCCAGCATGAGTGACAGTATGAAGACGAGGGATGCTATAGATCACAGTGACAGCAATAGCACTGCACAGGGGGATGCCCAGAGGCTAAACTGGCTGTTGAGGCTGCAAAAGAAGTTTGCTCCCTGCTAGGATCCCCATTGGCTGGTGCAGGTTTTTTCAGCCCTGGCAGAGCAGGCTCTGCTGGTATATCTAGCGGCAGCGCTCCTGAACGGGCAGAGATAAGGACACGCACTGCACTGGTGGTCTGTCAGTACCGGAGAATGGATCTGAAGATGTTCCTAGTCTTCGCTCCATTTCTGCTTCACGCTATCCTGGGCTTCCCTATTCAGGTGAGAGCAGCTCCATGCAACTGTGTTCTGTCTTCTAATCGACCTGTTCTTCCCGGAGTGAAGCTGTGGAAACCCATTTTGATGAATTTCCTGCAAGAAAAATATTAGTAATATAGCAATATATAAAGCCAATCTAATAATTTAGTTCCTCCCTTTGGCCTGATTTTGTTGCTACTGTTGCTGCATTTATGAGCTATGGAAGAATAATGCTTTTTACTTATTGGTTTTGCAGGAGAACGATGGAAACAGCACAACAAGTAAGTAGGATTTATACTGTATTTTTAAAGACAACTGTTAATTCTTGACTGTGTATCACACACTTTGGTGGTGTGTGAGTGACTTGGCTTTAGAGCATGAGAAAGTACTGACTCTCAGGCCTTTTGAATAAGGCCGTGTTTCCCCATCTGTTACTGGGCTGAGAGCAGATGTGTTTTCACACAGATGTGCCTTACACATACTTTAGGGGTGTGGTTTGTTAGGTTAATTTAGATGTGCTTTCACGGGCTTGAAAATAATATTTTAATAAGACATTTTGATACTCTTCCATTAAGTTGAGTGTTACCCATTTGCCTCCTTGCCTACCTTGGTGCAGCAGCAAGAGAAAGGGATGTCAGGCATCAGAGAAAGCTTTGCTTTGTGCTGGGTTAGAAAACAAATAGTACAGGCTTAGCTGAACAGCTTTTGTCAACTCACAAAACAGAAGGAGGTAATTGCAGATCTCCAGAGAAGGTCAATGGAAATAAATCCGTAGGCAGACTTTACACCAAGAAACTGCCAGGTCAGGGGTGATGTGTTGTGAGAGGAAAAGGCCTTGGAAAAATTTGCTTGACATAGTCAGAGCAACTAAGTGGCTAATGAAAACTGACTAATTCTTCTTTTGAGCTGTCATTTATGGCACAGCAGCAAAGGGTTGTTGTAAAATTACTGCTCGGTTTATTTGGAGCTGGCCGAGGGACACGCTTGCTCAGGTTTAAAGTAGTCAGTTGCTGGGACTCAAAGTTGCAGAGTTACTGGAACAAATGCATACAATGAGTTTTAATTTACCATTGTTACTGCTTTTTGTGCCTTTTGAGACATCTTTCAGTATTTACAGTGCAGGGAAAATGTGAACTGTATCATTTTGAAAGCTGGATCACACCAGATGTTCATTTGATCAAGGACATGGCAGATGCCTTCTGTGATGCCTCATTTGGGTTTTAAAAAGGGGTTGGATGCTTTATGCACCTAGGAATCTGGAGCCTAATTTCCACTGACTTTGACTAGTCAATTCATCTAGTGCCTCTTGGGTGCATGAATTCTGAATCCGGTCAACCCATTTCAAAAATGTGCTTCCCTGCAGAATTTTTTTAGATGCCATGGATCTTTCTGATGCAGCTGGTGGGAACTGACTGAACTTTTCTACAATAAACCACCATAATTACAGTGGACTTCCGTTGCCCTGTAACCAAAGTAACAGTCTGGAAAGACAGACTGAAGCCTTTTTGGCTCAATAAAAGCAATTCTGTTACAGGTTCTAGAGAGATTCTGAATAGGGGGAAGTCCCCTCAGCAGGTTTGGGCAATAACCACTGTGAAAAGGGAAAGGTGCTGCAAGGTGTGACAGAGCTTGGCACATCTTCTATTGAAAAAGCATGGTCAAAAAGCAAGGAACATGGATAGGCTTAGAAATAAGAACTATTTGCATAAGTGTTCTCTGTGTCAGTGTTGGACAGGAAAAAAAAGTAATGGCTTTATATTTTGACAAGGAAGAGTGCAATTATTGGCAAACAGGGAGATATTGCCAGAAAGGCTTGCGGCATATCCATCACACTTAAGAACAGGTCAAACAAACTGTGGTCAGGAGTAACACAGATAAAACTGTTTCTGCCTTAGGGAAAACAGACGAACTGAATGACCTCTGGAGGTCCTTGCAATTTCTAAACTTTTATGATATTATAACAAAGAAGTTTCTGCTCAGCAATTTCTATATCAGATCAGATTTTCACTTCCATGTTTGTATCTAGAAACTGACATTTAGTAGAAATCAAAAGCCATCACACTAGAAAGACGCCTTAGGACTCAGAATGGTTCTGAGCTGCTGTCAGGTACATACTGAAGCTGAGATTGTTTGCCCCATGCTAAATTATAACCTTCGTCCCATTTTATAACTTTACTCTTTGACACTGTAAAACCAGAGAGGATTGTCAGGCTGGTTAGCTTGCACCTGTTGCAGTGAAATCTAGGGACAAAGCATCTTTTTTGTCCCTAGTTTCCTTTGTCATTTTCCACACTGACACTGATAAAATGCTTTGCTGATTCTTAGATGGTAAATGACCAGGATTCTGTCCCTCAGCACTATCTACTAAGAATTTTCATAGCTGTTTGTCTAAATATCAATTTAATTTCTGTGCCTATGCATTGGTTAGTGCACCCTGTTCCCCTCCAAGCAACGGGACCTGCCAAAGGCATTCCCATGGCTGAGGAGGCCCATGCTATTGAACCCTGTGAAGTTGCATTCAGAATCTAATTTGCCCCTTTTGCTTATCTTTTTCTTCCTTCCTTTTTGCAGCAACAGAACCTACTGAGGTAAGGACAGCTAAATCAGCGCTTTTGATAACTTTGGGGTTCAGCATTGTGGAAAGTGAGGTCAAGACTCATGTACTCCACCTGTAACCCCATCTGTGCAGGAAAGTCTTCCCAAATCAACAGTGTAACAGAGTGAGCAGTTTCCATGCTTATTCCATTTATTGCTGCACTATACCCACATATAGCTCACATCCCAGGAAGCTTTTGCCTTCTCTGGGGTCACAGAGAAAATTCAAACTCGCTTTTTATTTATACAAGGCAAGGGAAGTATGGCAATCTGTTTTGCTACAGACCTGATCCCACAGCTGGGTATCAGCCCCACAGTTCCCTAGAAGCAGTATGTACCATGGCCTTTCACCGCTGTGTTACCCTGCTGTTACAGGGGGTACTGGGATACTGGGAGGACTTCGTTGGCGATTTCATCAACCTTGCACTCCTACTAGCAGGGACATAAATAAAGCTGGAAGATCTGAAACTTACTTCTCACTTCAGATTGCATTTCCTGAGTCTCCTGTTCTGATTCCCTTTATGATATCCATATTTGCCAAGATATAAAAGAAGAATATCTACCACACCATGGTACTTCTTTACACATGGCACAGTATGTAAAAGCTTGAGACTGCACTGGTGAAAGATACTTTCAGTGGTAGCTTGGACAGTTTTGATCCTTTGCATGCTATAGTATTTAATATTTATATTATAATATGAAGTGTGAGATAATAATATTGCATCATTCTTGCAGGTTACTACACAAGAGGATACATACGGTATGTATTATTCCATCTAAATATAAGTATTTGATAGGATATACTGATTGTTAGCTACCCATTTACTCCAGAAAATAACACATGCTTAACCCAAATTAATATTAAGGAAGAAATTTTAAATGAATGCACTCACCATAATATTTCATGCAAAGCAGAGTCTCTCTTGGTTGTGGCCAATTGCTTGGCCTTGCTAAAAACCTCAGCTGTTACTTTTGCTAAAAATAGCTCTGCTTAGATAATGTCATGACTTAAGTCACTTCCAAAGGTTACAGAAAGTGCAGAGGCCATGTGCTTGTGCTTTTTATTGATGTCAAGACTTATTGCATAATTCTCAGTGTTGGGTGATTCTACTTGTAAGGCCTAGGAGTCTGTGATGCTGGGCTTAGCTGGGGACATCACTCCGACACGTGGAATAAGAATGGAGTTCTGATTTCACTGGTTTCAAGGTTTTTTTCAAAAGGCCAGCACATCCAGCAGCAAGCAGCAGGACTGCTCTCCTTCCTTTTTTGCTCCTGGTGTCTTATGTTGGGGGTTTGAGTGTGAAGTGGGCATGCAGAAGGAAAACTGTGCTGTCTGAATGCACGGAGGGAGCCATGCAGCCAGCTGGCCACTTGAGTGGGACAATACAGACTTATAAGAGCCAAAGGTCCAGGCCTTAAATGTGATGGGTACGGGGGAAAAAGAAAAAAATGGAGAGAGGGAAAGATTGAAAGAGAATAGCTTTTGGGACTGGATTAATGCCAAAATAACCACAGCTGGGAGGTTCACAAGATTGTGGCACTGAGCAAATATCTACGTGACTGAACACCATGCCAGTCCCTAAATAGGCTCTGTGAGTTTTACATGCATTGCTGTAATCAGATCTGAGTGAGCTCCTGGAAACTCACCAGGTTAAAAATGAGGATTTGTATTTTCCCTGGGAATGAGAAAGTGATACTCTTGTATTTCTGTGCAGAATCTCCATCGCCGACAGAGACTGACTCCGAGGACGAAGTTATTTTTAATAGAATTCTGAAAGTTAACAAAGGTAATGCCACCAAAGACCTGCTTATAATGGGTCTCTCTTTGTTGCTTTTGGGGGTGATGTGGGTGGTACAATGTCTTACCACAATCCAAACAGATATTTTTCCCATCTTACATCTCATCATGTAAGAGATGCCCAGAGACCTGCCACTGGGACTACTGTGTGGTCTGCTGAAGCCCTATGGCATCTCAAAACTATAGTGTCAATACTGAAGATAATACCAGGTGTTGAGGCAACAGAACTATCCAGGCAGCTTCTTCAGGTTTAGCTCTTGACATCTTTGTCATTCTTTGGACATAAAAAGAGAACTTGGATATTTGGATGCATTAGTATTTAACTGCCTTTTTCTTGAAAGCAAGCGATGCTTGCATTCAATCATATGGCTTTGTAGTACAGACTCCTAGATAAGCTACGGTCAGTTCCATGCTGCCTGCTCCAGACTCCCTGTTCTTTGATTCTTCCAAACATTCACCATTCTATCAGCTTACCTGTCCTGGTTTCAGCTGGGATGTAGTTAACTGTCTTCCTAGTAGCTGGTACAGTGCTATGTTTTGAGTTCAGTATGTGAAGAATGTTGATAACACTGATGTTTTCAGTTGTTGCTCAGTAGTGTTTAGACTAGAGTCAAGGATTTTTAAGCTTTTC